TTAAAATGACTTAAGTTTATTTTTTATGATCAGCAAATGTAACTTGAGTTCATTAGCATACCCGTTGTGGAAGAAGAAATAACATTTTCTTGTTATTCTAGAGAAGTTGAAAGATCTCGGAAGATCGATGTATTTGTCAATCGATGTATGGAGATTAATAAATTAATAAATTATTTCTAATTCAACTACAAACGACCCTATGGGTCTTTTTGAAAAGTCACATGGTAATTGGAATTGGTGTAATATTCAAGGGCGGATTTAGCAAGGGTTATAGAGTGTCACGTGACACTGCTTCGTCGGAAAATTTTACGAAATATTTATAGTGTGAAAAGGGAAATAATAGATAAAAAGATATACATTATAAATTATGGTACACTCCTTTCATCAAAATTGTGCGTAGTTCTATTGGTTTTTGGCTGGGAATTCGCAAGTCAGGTCGCGTGTTCAAACCTTTCTGACCTCATTTTTATGTTTTTTTTCCTTTTGTTCATTTACCTTCTTTCTCACATGGTATTATTTTGAATACATCTTTTAAAAAAATCATGGAAAGTTATTAAATTATTTAAAAAGGTATAGTATTGTGTATATATATATATATGATGTTACATTGTTTATTTATTTTTTCATTTTTAAAGGTGAGACTACTTACGAAAAATCCTGCATACGTACGCCATTGGGTGTAATCACTAGGGAAGTAATTACCAACCTAGTAATTACACAACCTAGTAAATTACACTAAGTTGTTTGTTTGCAACTGTGTAATTATAAATGTACTATTTGGTTGCACAAATTCAATCATCAGATTATATTAAATTTTAAAAATCAAAGTTAATTATTTAAAATTTATATTAGACAAATACAGAACTTTATAAGTAATATTAAATTAAATATTTGATATATATATATTGTCTTTTGAAAATATATTAATTAATAAACATATGTTCTTAACTAACATTATATTATGAAAAATAATTGATTTATATTATTCTAATTAGAATATTTCAATTGAGTTAATCATAAAAACTAAAAGTACAAGATTTCTATGAACATCATGAAAATGCTATTTTTGACAAAAGATTAATATTATAAATAAAATTTTATAAATTATTAAAATATTTGATAAAAAGATAATCTATCAAGTCTAACTAAAAAAATACTAACTGACTTACAATGTGAAATCTCAAGTAAATTCTACTAAAACAAATGAAACTAAAAATTAACCTAAGTTATAAATTCAAAACAAAAATTACAACATAACATACATAAATATGATTTAAATGTAAAGAAATACATAAGTCTATAACCTTACTCAACAATAAATTATACTTTAATTTAAAAATTAGAATACTATATGTTAATCAAAAAAATAAACATGACATAAAAAAATAGATAATACAAAAAATTTCATGGAATCACATGAAGTAAAGGTTGAGGATGAGAAGGAAATGAAATATAAATAATAATAAAAAAATAATTTTCTTTTGAATAATAAAAATAAAAAAGAATTTAAAATAATAGAAATAAAAGTTTCCTTATTTATAAGTTTCATAGTTTAAAAGTTTCCTAGTTCAAAAGTTTTCTAGTTTAAAAGTCTCCTAGTTATTATTTTCATAAAAGAATTTTTTTTTAATCTCATTCTATTTGGAATAGTTTCTCCCAATATAAAGGGGTGGATTTTGTTATTTTTTAAAAGACACGATTAATATTATTATTTGAGAGATTTCTGTACACCGTACCTTTGAGTATGGTGACTGCGGATTTATCTTACAACCTTATTAGAACGATTCTTTAAGAGGTAAGCTTTATTCTTAACTAGATATATCTTTGGTTTCTATATATTAAAGTAAATAAAGAAGGTCATAATTAGTCTTAAGCTAATTGTTGTCTTTAATTTTATGGAAATAAGGGTTAGATCATTTTTGATATATACATGTTCTTGAATTGATCCTATTAGTATCATAATTAGTTTTAATATGCTAATTAGAATACTATCATCAATTAGGGTTCTTAGCACTTTATCTTGAAATTTGAGGATTTTATTCTCAAATTTCAACATCTTTCAATTCCTATCTTTAATCTTTGTATTTTTGCTTCCACATTATTTTCTTGTTTATTCAATCAACCCGATTCTTATCATTAACATATTCGAATGTTCTAGATTTGCACTATATATATCATCTTTGTATGGTAATTAGGTAATGTTTTGTGTGAATTTGTAATCGAAGGACGTCGTATTAAAGTTTTACGATATTAACATGACAACATTTTTAAAATTATTAAACCATTCTTATTTAATTAACACAAGAATTAAAAATTAGTGAGTAGATAATATTGTTATTTGTATATTCAATCAAAGAGTTTGGAACTAAACTTATGTGGTTAAAAAAATCTATTTAAGTTATTTAAAATTATTTAGTTAACATCATTTAAAAAAATAAATTAGTGAGTAAATATTAAACATGTGGACAACACAAACTTTTTGTAAATAATATATATATAAGTCTTGTGAAAGGCCACATTAACAAATAGAATAAAGAATTAAATTAAGTTATTAGGATGTTAAAGGCCACATCAGAAAGAGTAAAGATCCAAAAGCCTCCTTTTAATAAAAAAAAAACAAATTTTAAAAAAAAAATCTCAATGTAACCCATTTCAGAAAGAACCCCAAAACCCTAGGTCTTTCTTCTTTTTTTTTTTTGGAATTTGGTATTTGTA